TGTTGACGATATCCATTTTGCTCTCCGACTTCACATTGACCTAACCCTAACCCTAAGTGGAATTTTCCTCCAATGGGATTTCCCCATGCATTTTACCAGGAAACATAGATAATGCAGGCTAGAAAAGTCAGTGCTTTCCGAATAATACCGAGGCAGTCCGAGTTTGTTGGCGATCTTCATTTTGCTCTCTGACTTAATATTGACCTAACACTAACCCTAAGTGGAATTTTCCTCCAATGGGATTTTCCCATGCATTTTACCAGGAAACATAGAAAGGTCAGGTTAGAAAAGTCAGTGCCCTCCTAACCATACCCAAGCATTCCGAGTTTGTTAGTGATATCCTTTTTGCTCGGCGTCATCATGGTGACCTAACCCTAACCCTAAGTGGAATTTTCCTCCATGGGATTTTCCCATACATTTTAGCAGGAAACATAGATAGGGCATGATAGAAAAGTCAGTGCCTTCCTAACCATACCCAAGCTCTCCAAATTTGTTGGCGATGTCCATTTTGCTCTCTGACTTAATATTGACCTAACACTAACCCTAAGTGGAATTTTCCTCCAGTGGGATTTTCCCATGTATTTTACCAGGAAACATAGATAATGCAGGCTAGAAAAGTCAGTGCTTTCCTAATAATACCGAGGCAGTCCGAGTTTGTTGGCAATCTTCATTTTGCTGTATGAGTTCATGGTGACATAATCCTAGCCCTAAGTGGAATTTTCCTCCAATGGGATTTTCCCATGCATTTTACAAAGAAACATCGAAAGGTCAGGCTAAAAAAGTCAGTGCCTTCCTAACCATACCCAAGCACTCCAAACTTGTTCACGATATCCATTTTGCTCTCCGACTTCACATTGACCTAACCCTAACCCTAAGTGGAATTTTCCTCCAATGGGATTTCCCCATGCATTTTACCAGGAAACATAGATAATGCAGGCTAGAAAAGTCAGTGCTTTCCTAATAATACCGAGGCAGTCCGAGTTTGTTGGCGATCTTCATTTTGCTGTATGAGTTCATGGTGACCTAATCGTAACCCTAAGTGGAATTTTCCTCCAATGGGATATTCCCCTGCATTTTACCAGGAAACATAGAAAGGTCAGGTTAGAAAAGTCAGTGCCCTCCTAACCATACCCAAGCATTCCGAGTTTGATAGTGATATCCTTTTTGCTCGGCGACATCATGGTGACCTAACCCTAACCCTAAGTGGAATTTTTCTTCAATGGGATTTTCCCATGCTTTTTACCAGGAAATATAGATAGGGCAGGGTAGAAAAGTCAGTGCCGTCCTAATCATACCCAAGAACTCCGTGTTTGTTGGTGATATCCGTTTGGCTCTCCGACTTCATGTTGACCTATCCTTAACCCTAAATGGAATTCTCCTCCAATCGGATTTTCCCATTCATTTTACCAGGAAACATAGATATGGCAAGCTAGAAAAGTCAGTGCCTTCCTAAGCTCTCTAAATTTGTTGGCGCTGTCCTTTTAGCTCTATGAGTTCATGGTGAGCTAACCCTAAGTGGAATTTTCCTCCAATAGGATTTTCCCATACAATTTATCAGGAAACATAGATAGGGCAGGCTAGAAAAGTCAGGGCCCTGCTAACCATACCCAGTTTGTTGGTGATATCCATTTTGCTCTGTGACTTTACGTCGACCTAACCCTAACCGAAAGTGGAATTTTCTTCCAATGGGATAGGGCAGGCTAGAAAAGTCAGTGCCTTCCTAATCATACCCAAGCACTCAAAATTTGTTGGCGATTTCCATTTTGCTGTTGAGTTCATGGTGACCTAATCCTAACCCTAAGTGGAATTTTCCTCCAATGGGATTTTCCCATGCATTTTACCAGGAAACATCGAAAGGTCTGGCTAGAAAAGTCAGTGCCTTCCTAACCGTACCCAAGCACTCCAAACTTGTTGACGATATCCATTTTGCTCTCCGACTTCTCATTGACCTAACCCTAACCCTAAGTGGAATGTTCCTCCAATGGGATTTCCCCATGCATTTTACCAGGAAACATAGATAATGCAGGCTAGAAAAGTCAGTGCCTTCCTAACCATACCCAGGCAGTTCGAGTTTGTTGGCGATGTCCGTTTTACTCTGCGACTTCATGTTGACCTAACCCTAACCCTAATTGGAATTTTCCTCCAATGGGATTTCCCCATGTATTTTACCAGGAAACATAGATAGGCAGGCTAGAAAAGTCAGTGCCCTTCCTAACATACCCAGGCACTCCGAGTTTGTTGGCGATCTCATTTTGCTGTATAGTTCATGGTGACCTAACCCTAACCCTAAGTGGAATTTTCCTCCATGGCATTTTCCCATACATTTTAGCAGGAAACATAGATAGGGCATGATAGAAAAGTCAGTGCCTTCCTAACCATACCCAAGCTCTCCAAATTTGTTGGCGATGTCCATTTTGCTCTCCGACTTAATATTGACCTAACACTAACCCTAAGTGGAATTTTCCTCCAGTGGGATTTTCCCATGTATTTTACCAGGAAACATAGATAGGGCAGGCTAGAAAAGTCAGTGCCTTCCTAATCATACCCAAGCACTCAAAATTTGTTGGCGATTTCCATTTTGCTGTTGAGTTCATGGTGACCTAATCCTAACCCTAAGTGGAATTTTCCTCCAATGGGATTTTCCCATGCATTTTACAAGGAAACATCGAAAGGTCAGGCTAGAAAGGTCAGTGCCTTCCTAACCATACCCAAGCACTCCAAACTTGTTGACGATATCCATTTTGCTCTCCGACTTCACATTGACCTAACCCTAACCCTAAGTGGAATTTTCCTCCAATGGGATTTCCCCATGCATTTTACCAGGAAACATAGATAATGCAGGCTAGAAAAGTCAGTGCTTTCCTAATAATACCGAGGCAGTCCGAGTTTGTTGGCGATCTTCATTTTGCTGTATGAGTTCATGGTGACCTAATCGTAATCCTAAGTGGAATTTTCCTCCAATGGGATTTTCCCATGCATTTTACCAGGAAACATAGAAAGGTCAGGTTAGAAAAGTCAGTGCCCTCCTAACCATACCCAAGCATTCCGAGTTTGTTAGTGATATCCTTTTTGCTCTGTGACTTCATGTGGATCTAACCCTAACCCTAAGTGGAATTTTTCTTCAATGGGATTTTCCCATGTATTTTACCAGGAAACATAGAAAATGCAGGCTGGAAAAGTCAGCTCCCTCCTAACTATACCCAAGGACTACGTGTTTGTTGGTGATATCCATTTTGTTCTGCGACTTCATGTTGACCTAACCCTAACTCTAAATGGAATTTTCCTCCAATGGGATTTTCTCGTTCATTTTACCAGGAAACATAGATAGAGCAGGCAGGAAAGGTCAGTGCCTTCCTAACCTTAATCCGGCAGTCCGAGGTTGTTGGCGATATCCATTTTGCTCTTTGAGTTCATGGTGACCTAACCCTAATCCTAAGTGAAATTTTCCTCCACTGGGATTTTCCCATTCATTTTACCAGGTAATATAGATAGGGCAGGGTAGAAAAGTCAGTGCCTTCCTAATCATACCCAAGAACTCCGAGTTTGTTGGTGATATCCGTTTGGCTCTCCGACTTCATGTTGACCTATCCTTAACCCTAAATGGAATTTTCCTCCAATGGGATTTTCCCATTCATTTTACCAAGAAACATAGATATGGCAAGCTAGAAAAGTCAGTGCCTTCCTAAGCTCTCTAAATTTGTTGGCGCTGTCCTTTTAGCTCTATGAGTTCATGGTGAGCTAACCCTAATTGGAATTTTCCTCCAATAGGATTTTCCCATACAATTTATCAGGAAACATAGATAGGGCAGGCTAGAAAAGTCAGGGCCCTGCTAACCATACCCAGTTTGTTGGTGATATCCGTTTTGCTCTGTGACTTTATGTCGGCCTAACCCTAACCGAAAGTGGAATTTTCTTCCAATGGGATTTTCCCATGTATTTTACCAGGAAACATAGATAGGGCAGGCTAGAAAAGTCAGTGCCTTCCTAATCATACCGAAGCACTCAAAATTTGTTGGCGATTTCCATTTTGCTGTTGAGTTCATGGTGACCTAATCCTAATCCTAAGTGGAATTTTCCTCCAATGGGATTTTCCCATGTATTTTACCAGGAAACATAGATAGGGCAGGCTAGAAAAGTCAGTGCCTTCCTAATCATACCCAAGCACTCAAAATTTGTTGGCGATTTCCATTTTGCTGTTGAGTTCATGGTGACCTAATCCTAACCCTAAGTGGAATTTTCCTCCAATGGGATTTTCCCATGCATTTTACCAGGAAACATCGAAAGGTCATGCTAGAAAAGTCAGTGCCTTCCTAACCATACCCAAGCACTCCAAACTTGTTGACGATATCCATTTTGCTCTCCGACTTCTCATTGACCTAACCCTAACCCTAAGTGTAATGTTCCTCCAATGGGATTTTCCCATGCATTTTACCAGGAAATATAGATAGGGCATGCTAGTAAAGTCAGTGCCTTCCTAACCATACCCAAGCTCTCAAAATTTGTTGGTGATGTCCTTTTAGCTCTATGAGTTCATGGTGAGCTAACCCTAACCCTAAGTTGAATTTTCCTCCAATGAGATTTTCCCATACATTTTACCAGGAAACATTGATAGGGCAGGCTAGAAAGTTCAGTGCTCTCCTATCCAGACCCAAGCACTCTGAGTTTGTTGGTGATATCCGTTTTGCTCTGTGACTTCATGTTGACCTCACCCTAACCCTAAGTGGAATTTTCCTCCAATGGGATTTTTCCATGTATTTTACCGGGAAACATAGATAGGGCAGGCTAGAAAAGTCAGTGCCTTCCTAATCATACCGAAGCACTCCAAATTTGTTGGCGATCTCCATTTTGCTCTATGAGTTCATGGTGACCTAACCCTAACCCTAAGTGGAATTTTCCTCCAATGGGATTTCCCCATGTATTTTAACAGGAAACATAGATAGGGCAGGCTAGAAAAGTCAGTGCCTTCCTAACCATATCCAAGCACTCAAAGTTTGTTGCCCATGTCCATTTTGCTATTTGAGTTTATGGTGACCCAACCCGAACCCTATGTCCATGTTGGCAAAGCTATGGTATGCGTGCCATAGGTGGCACGCAGAGCCCTCTCTTTGGGAATGTGTACCATTGCCCCAGTCGTACGCCTTCAGCTGGGTTTTATAAAACCTTTTCGCTTGAGGCTTTCGCCACCGTGTGCCCAAAAGAAAATGGTTCAATCAATCAATCTATTTCAACTTCTTACGGGGAAAAAAAGATCTTACTAAATTGGAATTGATTGATTGAACTTTTTAGTCCCACCCAGTCTGCCGTTACCACCACAGCCACACCTATCCAATGGGCCATGCGCAGCCAATTGGCCACACCTACGCAATGGGCGAAGCCTACCCTGCACCTGATGATACATAAATGATTTTTGGGTTGCAGATTGGGCACTTGGTCTCTAAAAGGTTCGCCATCACTAAGCTATTCTATATAGATCAGCCATCCCAAACTAGTTTACTTCCAAGTATGTCATATTGTTACATTCATAATCTTCAACCAGTTTTAAGACATTTTCTAAAGCATACATGAGAACCATTGTTTTCTTCAGTACAATTTAGTTTACAGGTGCTATGCCAATACATTTTGGGAAACTGAAATTGCATTAACTATTTTCATCATGTTTAGAAAGTAAAAGCACATAATATTATATTTATCTGGATGAAGAATAGCAAGAAATTAAGACTGTCTTCCTCCATCCAGTGAATATTGAACAGATTCTCAGCTAAATTTAGATGATCTTTGCCATTTTTATTGTAAATTACTTGGGTGAAGTCTAATCTTTCTTACAGTAAATACAATATTGACCATATAATATATACATAGTGCTTATAAATTATAAATCTGAATTGGATGATCAATTAATCCAAACATTCTTGTGGGCACCATCTGAATTTCCAGATGTTTGATTCCAATAGTCTTTTCAACTGCATTCTTTGACAGGAAGAAATAAAGACCGCATCACCTGTACTCTCAGTTCCTTCAACCTCTTATCAAGTACTATCAGTATGCTTTCAGTATCCAAGATTATGAATGGCTATGCCATTTCTTCCCAGTGATACAATTGATCAATATCAAAGTGACAGATTGCTCCTTCGGTCTTTGTCAGTAGGAAGTCTTATGATTACCTCAACTTACGATCACAACTGAGCCCAAAATTTGTTAAGCAAGACATTTACTGAGTTTTGGCCCATTTTCTTGCGGCAGTTGTTAAGGGAATCAGTGCAGTTGATAAATTAGTAACCTGGTTGTTAAATGAATCTGGCTTCCCCATTGACTTTGCTTGTCAGAAGGCTGCAAAAGGCGATCACATGACTTTGAGATACAACAGTAGTCATAAGTATGAACCAGTTGCCAAGTATCTGAATTTTGATCAGATGCTGCTGCAAAGGTCGATAACTGTGAAAAAAGGCCATAAGTCATTTTTTTTCAGCGCCGTTGTAACTTTGAATGGTCACTAAATGAACTGTTGTTAGTTGAGGATTACCCCATATTGCCACTTATTACTGCCTCTTTTTCAGGGCAGAAGCAGGAATTCTTTCTTTTGAAGACTTTCTTCCTTGTCCCTCAGGCTTATAGCAGTGGCTCTTCATCCAGAGATGAACTGTCCTCAAAGGAGAGACTCTGAAATCTATTCGAAAGCTTCCCCCCCCCCAAAAAAAACCTTGGTTCTTTGTAACAAATTCTTCCATCATATTTCTGGTAGGCTTCTTCATATTTCTGTCCACCCTCTGATCCAATAATTCTTTCTTTCTCTGTAAGCTGGAGAATGGATAGGTTTGTTTCTAGCCCCTTTAACTCTTCCAGAAAGGCAGGCAGCTGCTTGCCTATCACTAGCTGATGGCTTCTATGAGGCTTTTCTTTTAAAAGCAAATTAATTAAAGTGAATTGGCCTGCCAGTAACACAAAAGATTACATTTTTAAGTATAGCAGGCTTAATGTACAGACTGAGTTTAGATCAGTGACACATCTTATGTTTGAATGCAAAAGGCTGAAACTTCATTCCTACCATTACCAACAAAATGTCTATAAAAATTCTCAGGCATCCAGGTCAGCTGAAGAAGCTTCTATGAGAAGTGAAACATCTTCAAAGAAAAACAAGAAAGTCCAAGTTGCCTCTTGAAAAAGTACCTTTGGGACATTACCAGCAAAACTTGGGAAAACTTTTGATCCAAAATCTAGAAGAGTTATAAATAAATAATAAAGTAGTAATTGACTCTATACTGCACTTTTCGTATGGAATTCAAGGTTGTTCTTTTTTTAAAACACTTTGAGAAAAATTGGTGCTAAGCTATAATAATTTAAAATAATATAATGTTCCATGCTTAAATATAATTATAAATCAGGCCCTCCTTGAATTTTACACCACTATTCCAGCTACTACTTCTGTTGTTTCTATTGCAGAGAAAAGAAGAGTCAAGGGTCAAAAAGGCAGAGAGAATGGACGAGGAAAGAGATATTCCTATAAATTACCTCAAGAATATAATGTGGAGACTGTAGTGATTGCAGATCCAGCAATGGTTTCCTATCATGGAGCAGATGCTGCTAGGAGATTTATTTTAACTATTTTAAATATGGTAAGAAACTATAAATCTTTTCAGCAAAAGGATACATTAAAGTTAAATATAACTTACATAAAATAGAGAATATAGCCTGGTAATGAGCTAGTGGGATTGGAAAAGAAAAGGAATCATAGCTAGTACTTTTACACTGACACTAAGATATTGCCGCCTTTCAAGATCCAGCACAAAATTACCTCATAAGATCCACTATTAGCTTGGAATTTATACAGCATTAAAAAATAGCCAGTTTTTTTTTCTCCTACTATCCAGACTCATTATTAGTGCCCTGTATATTGAGAAAAAAATGAATCTAGTATCTTGTTCTACTATTGCAAATATAAAATTCTATGTATTGTTTGATAAGAATATAATGAAAGCAACGAAAACTGAACTGAAGGTGTAGATGATGCTAATGTCTCACTGCCAGCCAACTGAATATATGAAGAACATATTGCAAACATAAACATACATGTTTTGTGTAGAATCTTCTACATCCTGAATAGATTGTCATATTGCAATTATTTGGGAAAACATTGAAAACAACTCAGTATTCCACAGCATTTTGAGAAGATGCCTCAAATAATCCGTGATTTGTCCTATTACTAATTTTTCTATGACTATATTTTTTTTGTTTTTAGGTATTTAATCTTTTCCAGCACAAGAGCCTTGGAGTTCAAATGAATCTTCGGGTGACTAAGCTTGTTCTGCTTCATGAGACTCCGGTGAGAAAGTACTGCATTTATCTCTTCCATGTACAGTAAAAAAGGCAAATATTGATGCAAAAACCTGCAATTGTCAATGGCCTAAATAAAAGTGAAGTTGAAGGGAAAACCATAGATTGCTGACCTTTCCTAAAAAATAAAAACACTGCTTTGTCTTTAAGCAATTTGAGAGAGGGTCAAAAAGGGGGAAATTTCAGAGCACGGATGCATTTCCTAGTACCTGATACAGTATCGATGTTGAACAGTAACCTTTACATCACTGTTTGACCCATCTTTCATATACAATAATTTAAACCAGTCAATTCTCATTTTGAGTTAGCTTTTTCTCATTGATGAAATAATATATCAATAACAGCTGTACAAAAACCATCCAATTTAGCTGAAACAGTCCATTCTTTTTTGGCACCCTGCAGGGTTAGACTGTTATGATTTACTTGCAGTTCCAAAGTGTGATTTGAGAAAGGTGAATTCCATTCCTGTTGTCAATATATTTTTGTATATATATGTTTTAACATTTCCCTTCAGAGATGTGGGCTTTTTTATTCTTGGGAGGCTTCCTTTTTATTTTCTCTCTAGGGAAACTTTGTACAAGATAGGGTGAAGTCTAAGATTAATTCCCCTGCTTGACCATGTAGACATGGTAGAGGTGGATGTAGGCGGAAAAGGTTTTTTGCATAAGGAGAAAAGAAGGAATGATGCTCCTTTCTTAAAGCTTTATCTTGAGGCTTTGCAGGCCATCTTTTCAGGTGAAGCTGGATTGTGACCCTGTTACTTGTTGCTAGGAGGAAAAATTAGAAATCATTTGAGTGAAAGTTCTGAAAAGATTTATTGCAGCTAGATTGAACAAAGTAAATGCAGAAAAAGAGGCTTGATTGTGAACTTTCGACCTTTTCAATCATTCAAAATGCCCCAGTTAGAACAATCTAATGCTTAAATATGTTCAACTGTTGTATTTTATTTTTATATTACTAAATGGAAGTACTATTCCATTTTAAATGTATTTGAACATTCTATTATGAAATGACACTTTCATTTAGATTGAGCATCCTCATAATTAGGATGATATTATTACTTGCCTGTCTGCCGAAACAAACACAAATAACATTCTTTTGAACTTTGAATAAATGCACTTAAATCTTTAAAGTTGTTTGAAATTATATAAAATATAATAATATAAAAGCCAATTTGATATACTGGTTATGGTGCTCAACTAAAATTAAGGTTAAACAGTCTTCTAAATAGCTTGATTCTGTTGATCAAGATATGCTCAGCAAATCAAAATATTTCAACAATAGAAAATTTAGACATGTAGGATTTATATTTACCTAACCTTATATCAATATTCTTCAATCTTGGGTCTTCTGACTCTTGGAATTTTCTACCAGGATTCTGAGAATTCTCAGAACTCCCAAACATCTTTTACTATGTAGTAAAAGACTACAGAGGAAAATAGTATTGTTGTAAATGTAATGCAGCAATATTCTTTATGGAACTTTGTTCTAAACCTTTTTGGAAGTTTTGTTGCAAAAAATATCTTCATTTAAGGGATATTATCTTAAACTATTAAAATTTTCAGGCAGAGATGTATATTGGACATCATGGTGAAAAAATGCTAGAGAGCTTTTGCAAATGGCAACATGAAGAATTTGGTAAGAAAAATGACATACATTTAGAAATGTCAACAAGCTGGAGTGAAAATGTGTCACCAGTGGATGCAGCTGTATTAATCACCAGGTACATTTTCCTCTTGTATATTAGTGATTCTGAAGCTCATGCCAAGATTTTATGCACTCTGTTCCAATGAGCTCTTTCTGCAGATAAAATTGCTTCTGTCAATAGATTACGGAAGGATAATTTCCCCCCCCCCCCTCTCCTCCTATATTTTCACTGCATGGATTTGGTGAAAATCATTTTGGAGAGGAAATTTCATTACATCTGATTTGTCTGTTAGTCACTGTTTTCATTTACTTTTCCTGAGGAGGCACCCTTTTTCTCTCTGATTAACTGATTCCAGATGAGAATTCTGAATATCTTAGTTTGGTGTACTTTTTGTACTTTGCAGTACTTTCTTATTTACCTATTTTCTATTTATATTATTTAATTATTTGCTCATTCATTCATTGACAATGCTTATAACCTGCTCCTGTCTGGAGGACTCTAGGTATCATACAGCAAGACAGAAAATAGAAATATGTAATAATAAACTCCAAAATTAATTATGGAGGGATGAACAGTCTCAGTCAGGACCACTGAGGTCCAAAGGCTTTCTGAAAACTATAACCTTGGCTTGCTTACAGAATATTAACCTGGGGGTGAATCCACCTCAAGGGAGAGAGAGTTCCATAAAATTCTAGAGTCTTGGCAGCTAACTCAAGACATTAAAAAAAAAAATCTGCATAATAGATATGGCAGTACGTGGAGACAGCAGAATAGAAGGGAAAGAACAGGAGAAAACCACTACATATAAAGACCTGCAAACAGAAGTAGATGTTTGTGGGAAAAGAAAGCAAAGATAGTACCAATAGTATAGGTCTCTTGGGTGCAATCCCAAAGCATCAGGAGGACCGCTTGAACACCAACTGCATTGACAAAATCGCCATCAGTCAATTGGAAAAGGCAGCTTTCATCCTGAAACAATATCTTTAACACCCTCAAACAACATATGCTTATCTCAAGCCCTTGAGGACACGATAGGTAGACAAAAATGCCAAATCCAATCTGAACATCTAGCTGACTGTGTGACAAATGATAATAAAAATATGCATGATGCCTGGATGATCATAAGTACAGTTTTATAAATAATTTAACTGGCTCTAGGTCTCATAGATCTGAAGCTTTTACTAGTTAAGTTTAAATGTATTTACCCGTGCAAGTTTTTAAAATTTTGATTAAAGCATTATACCTGGCCTGATTTTAAATTAGTAGGACAGATGATACTGGAATGTTTAAGACTAAGAATAACAGAGATTGATTTAAAAGTATTATTTTAAAGCATAATTATTGTTTTAAATTTTAAATTGTAAATTTGTTATTTAATGACTTATGGTCTGCCCAGAATCCTTGTTAATTGGAGCAGGCTATAAATATAACAAATAAATGAGTAAATAAATATTAAAAATATTGTTATAAAAATAGAATTTAACCTTAATAACTGAGTTCAGTTCAATTGAAATTCATTGGAAAGTTTTCTTTTGCAATTTTCTTATGCTGTATTATCTTGTCATAGGTTATGTATACCCCCATTCCCTTTTTATATATTTTTATGTATCTGTCTGCCTTTTTATTTGTTTCTTTGAAGAGATTCTTATATAATTATAGGTTTTATCTTAAGGAGCTGAATATTCAATTTTTGCATTGCCTGAAGGACCTCTTGAAATGCTATATTTAATAAGTTTAAATCTTTATGAACAAGGTATAATTTATGGTAATGACTCAGTGTAGTTGCCCATTCTTGCCTGAAATATTTTTCTACCATTAGTTAAGCTTTAGAAATCTATCATAAATCTCTTAAAAGGTTTACTATATTCCCCTTGAATAAATCTTTCGTAAGCTTGATAAACCACTTGCAAAAGAGACCAGCTTCTCTGATAGTATAAAAGATTTGAACAGTATTGTATCATATCAGTGCTTTCAGATTCCATATATGAGATTATTCCACATGTTAGTTATATAATTTATACAATGGAGTACAATAATATGCAAGTATAATTGAAAGGCTTTTTTTTTTTTTACCTTTTTTATGTTAAACTGACAGGATCAGAAAGAACTGGCTCAGAAGTTAGAAATTTAAGACAATCAGCCAGGAAACCCTATACCATTTCAGACAAATGGTTGTCCAGTGTCTATTTAAAAGCTTCCAGTGTTGGAGCATTCACAACTTCTGGAGGCAGGTTGTTCCACTGGTTAATTGTTCTAACTGTCAGGAAATTTCTCCTTAGTTCTAGATTGCTTCTCTCTTTGATTAGTTTCCATCCTTTGCTTCTTGTTCTGCCTTGGTGCTTTGGAGAATAGCTTGACTCCCTCTTCTTTGTGGCAACCCCTGAGATATTGGAACACTGCTATCATGTCCCCCCTCGTCCTTCTCTTAATTAAATTAGACATACCCAATTCCAGCAACTGTTCCTTATATGTTTTAGCCTCCAGTCCCCTAATCATCTTTGTTGCTCTTCTCTGTACTCTTTCTAGAGTCTCAACATCTTTTTTATATCGTGGTGACCAAAACTGGATGCAATATTCCAAGTGTGGCCTTACCAAGGCATTGTAAAGTGGTATTAACACTTCACGTGATCTTGATTCTGTCCCTCTGCTAATGCAGCTTAGCACTGTGTTGGCTATTTTGGCAGCTGCAGCACACTGCTGGCTCATATTTACGTGATTGTCCACTAGGACTCCGAGATCCCTCTCACAATGGCTACTATTGAGCAAGATACCACCTATACTATACCTGTGCATTTGGTTTTTCTTGCCTGAATGGAGAACCTTACTTTTTTCATCACTGAATTTCATTTTGTTAGATAACGCCCAATGTTTAAGTCTATCAAGATCCTTCTGTATCCAAAGCCTATTTTCTGGAGTGCTGGCTATTCCTGCCAGCTTGGTGTTGTCTGCAGATTTGATGAGTTCCCCATCTATCCCCTCATCCAGATCATTGATGAAGACATTGAAGAGCACTGGGCCCAGAACAGAGCCCTGGGGCACCCCACTACACACTTCCTTCCATGTAGATGCAGTTCCATTGAGGCAACCTTCTAGTTGACAAGCCCAGTGTCTTAAACTGTTAAGCCACTGCCCCTCATAATAATGAGAAAAAGGGGAGGAGAATGTCTTGCTTCCAATTCTTGCACCCCGTTATTGAATTACTCTGTACATCATGTTGGCTTTACTGCGACAGCATGAAGGTTGTTCAGAATATTGGATAGTAGAAGTACCCTTAGGCTGAAATCCCTTCAGATGCTGTGAAGTGAACTACATTGTCTTAAACTAGAAGACATCCAAGGTACCTTACAGCATTATTATTATTATTATTATTATTATTATTAGGTTGGCAGTTTTAGCTCTTGCTAACCTAGCAGTTAGAAAGCATGCAAGTGCAAAATAGAAAAATAGGTGCCACTTAGGTGGGAAAGTAATAGCGTCCATTGCACCTTGGCATATAGTCATGCTGCCCACACAATCACAGAAACATCTTCAAACAACGCTGGTTCCCTCGGCTAGTAAACAAAGATGAGCACACCTCTTAAGTCAGATATGACTGGACAGGGGAAATTTTTACCTTTTATCTTTCCTCATTGTTATATTTCTGCTCTATTTTGAGAAAAAGCAAAAAAAAAAAAAAGCAATATTGCAGAGGGTTTCAACAGAGATTCACAAGGAAATGGCAACAACACATAGCAAAACCCAAATCAGTGCATCCACAAGAATGGAGAAGTGCTCAATGAAGTTTGAACCTACAGTAATTAGAGGCACACTTTTTGGTTACAAAGCCTAAAAGACAGGTTTTCTCAGATAATTATTGTAGCCTAAGATTAAGAGTAGCATACCTAAATGTACAGTATTGCTATTGCTATTAGCCTATGCACTAACAACAACAACAACAACAACAACAACTTTATTGTCACTTTAAATATACACCAATCGGCATACATCAAAATGAAATTTCGTTGCATACAGGTCTCAAAGGGTCACCACCTCCAATATACACTCCTTATTCATGGCCAGCTCAAGTTTCAGAATGTCCATTTTAGTCTCTAGAGAGCGAACGTTGGCAAACAGGACAGATGGAAACGGAGCTCCATGTGGATTAGCCCTCAAATTAGCTTGCATTCTTGTACGACAACCTATCCTCCTTTTCTTTTTCTGATCCTGACTCTTCCACCTTTTCCTTAAAGGGTCCTCACTCCTTTTTGCCCCTGAAGCATGCTGCCACCACCTCCAACTCCTCCAAAAGCCTCTCTCCCTTCCTCTGGGCCTGCCAACAGCATCATCCAGGTCCTTTGCTCCATAAGCCCCGGGACCTCTCCTCCTCTGCCTCCTTTGAAAACAGCCCTGATCTGCAATAGAAACCGTTGCTGTGCCAGCAGTCAGACCTTGCTTTTGGCAGAACAATTTCAAACAGTGCAAACGACAATCTTTGCTTAAAGATTTCATCAGCAGTTTCGAAACAGCTAAAACCTCGCCATACTAGCAAAGGTTGTTGGTGGTATGTTAGCTTAGTCACACCACGTTGCTCAAACACATTAAAACCTTCCCGATCATGTGGCCTATATCCCTTATATCCCTCCGAAAACCTTTCTCTTTCGAGAGCCAATGCTGCCCCAACCAATCAAGGCGCCGCCATCTTAATATAAAAACAAATGCTTATATTTATATAGAGTATTGTATATTGTATTGTATTGTAGGATTGCAATCCTTTAACTCTATTGGTGAAAAACTGTTATATAATAATAATAATAGTAAAGTTGGAAGGGACCTTGGAGGTCATCTAGTCCAACCCCCTGCTCGGGCAGGAAACCCTACACTATTTCGGACAAATGGCTGTCCAGTCTCTTCTTAAAAACTTCCAGTGTTGGAGCATTTACTGCTTCTGGAGGCAGGCTGTTCCACTGCTTAATTGTTCTCACTGTCAGGAAGTTTCTCCTTAGTTCTAGGTTGCTTCTCTCCTTGATTAGTTTCCACCCATTGCTTCTTGTCCTGCCTTCAGGTGCTTTGGAAAATAGCTTGATTCCCTCTTCTTTATGGCAGCCCCTGAGATATTGGAATATTGCTATCATGTCCCCCCTTGTCCTTCTCTTCGTTAAACTAGACATACCCAATTCTAGCAACCGTTCCTTATATGTTTTAGCCTCCAGTCCCCTATCATCTTTGTTGCTCTTCTCTGTACTCTTTCTAGAGTCTCAACATCTTTTTTACATCGTGGTGACCAAAACTGGATGCAGTATTCCAAGTGTGGCCTTACCAAGGCATTGAAGAGTGGTATTAATACTTCGCGTGATCTTGATTCTATCCCTCTGTTAATGCAGCCTAGTACTGTGTTGGCCTTTTTGGCAGCTGCCGCACACTGCTGGCTCAAAATAAATTTATTTATTTTTATATCACATTTAGAAATTGTCCATCTCACTCACTGAGTAAATTAAAGCAATTGTATCAGTGAAGTGCTTACAATCCAGACTTTTATTATCATTTTAAGATGCTATAAATTTTACTGTATATTAATTGTTACAGTTGTTGGGAATTTTTTTGCATCTACTGTATACTTTTATTTGGCTTTGATTTTTAATTACATATGTTGTTTACTCATCTAAATTAAATAATTGCATTTGAAACATTAAAAACAAACAACATGGCCAGTTCTATATTATAAAGTATATGGAAAGAAGAGTTTTTAAAAACAATGGATTTCCAAAGATGAGAGAAAGTAACAAATCTGACACTAAATACCTGGACAGACTTGAACACTGGGTGCTATCTAACAAAATGAAATTCAGTGGTGAAAAAAGTAAGGTTCTACATTTAGGCAAGAAAAACTAAATGTACAGGTATAGTATAGGGGGTACCTTGCTCAATAGTAGTAACTGTGAGAGGGATCTTGGAGTCCTGGTGGATGATCACTTAGATATGAGCCAGCAGTGTGCTGTAGCTGCCAAAAAAGCCAACACACTGCTGGGCTGCATTAACAGAGGGATAGAATCAAGATCACGTGAAGTATTAATACCACTTTACAATGCCTTGGTAAGGCCACACTTGGAATACAGCATCCAGTTTTGCTCACTACAATGTAAAAAAGATGCTGAGACTCTAGAAAGAGTACAGAGAAGAGAGTACAAAGATGATTAGGGGACTGGAGGCTAAAACATATAAGGAACGGTTGCTGGAATTGAGTATGTCTAGTTTAACGAAGAGAAGGACGAGGGGGGACATGATAGCAGTGTTCCAATATCTCAGGGGTTGCCACAAAGAAGAGGGAGTGAAGCTATTCTCCAAAGTGCCTGAAGGCAGGACAAGAAGCAACGGATAAAAACTAATCAAGGAGAGAAGCAACCTAGAACTAAGGAGAAACTTCCTGACAGTTAGAACAATTAACCAGTGGAACAACCTGCCTCCAGAAGTGGTGAATGCTCCAACACTGGAAGCTTTAAAGAAGAGACTGGACAGCCATTTGTCCGAAATGGTGTAGGGTTTCCTGCCTGAGCAGGGGGTTGGACTCGATGACCTCCAAGGTCCCTTCCAACTTCATTATTAGGTCCCTTCCAACTTCATTACTATTATTATTATTATTATTATTATTATTATTATTATTATTATTATTATTATAGATTGCAAATTGTTTTTTATGTAATCCTAAGTAAAAGTTTATGTTGTTAATATCATGATTATCTTGAAAATGCTCTTTGCTTAGATATTTGCTATTTTAAAAATCATTTAAAAGTGCACAAATTAGTTAAACAATAATAAATGATCTGACACAAAAAAAAATTAAGGGTTTGTCTTTTTTTCACCCCAATTTTAGGAAGGATTTCTGTGTGCATAAAGATGAGCCTTGTGATACTGTGGGTAAGTGAAATTTAAAAATACCTCTTCAAAAGTGTCATTTTAAGACTTGGACATATAGTGGGGTAAAGAAATGGATAATATTGTTTTGAATATGTGTGATTTAATGACATGTTTAAAAACACAAACTGCTTCAATGCTTGAATTGAAAAAGGTATCTTTAAAAAGATATATCTAGTGCTTGCTGACCAGGACCAACTACCCTGCTGGAAAGTCAAACATATGTGAAATGTTTGGCTTTCCAGCAGGGCAGTTGGTCCTGGTCAGCAAGCACTAGATATAGTCATTGAAATAATAATAATAAAAAAAGCCTTCTTATGGGAAACATCATTGTAAAAAGCATATATTTTATGAATTTACAGTTACAGAAGACTTAAAATATATTCGCTATATTTGAAAATTGGTATAGCTGTCATTGTGAACCATATTTCTCTAGAAGTAAAATTGTTTCTGCTTCTCCCAGCAAATAGTTTTTTGAGAAGAGTTTTGAAATTGATTTTTGACAGTCAGTAAAATCTATCGTCATTTACCTCACTGGATTGCCCAAGTAAATACATCTAGTATATTAATGTGATCATATACAGTATATTGAGGCTTAGTCAACAAACATTCAACAAATTTCAGACATTGTAAAGGATTTTTTTTCTTTTCTTTTTGACCTTTTGACCAGAGGCCTTTTTAAAGGCAATGTTATGCATTCCACTAATAAACTCATCAAATATTAATAATCATGGTTTATATTGCATTCATTAATATTTATGACAGTTTTTCTTACTTGATAATATGTATAATACTTACTGTAAGTGTTCTACAGCAAGTGTTTTAAAAAGAACAGGGTAGCGTATGAATTTAATTTGTTAAAGATGTAATTACGTTAAAGTGCTTTCTTTTTCTTGTGATATAGTACCTGCATGTTGGGAAATTGCAACTAGGCTGGAGGGAGGAGTCAAATGAAGGCCTAGCTTGGAGTTGTTGCACAGCTATAAATACCTTAAGCATGACCTCTTCTGAAATCTGTCAAACTTTATCTAGTAATTCCCAGGGGAAAGCAAGTAAACTGATGAGATTCTTGTAACATAGGTGATAAATGATAAAGTTACAACCTGAGGCTATTCATAAATGGTTCTCATTGCTTGAGTCTGACATTAATTTTATTAAACTCATTTCTCACACCCCTGGGTAAAAGAAAATACAGCGGGATGGCTATTGACCCACAGGTAGCTGCTGGGTTGCCCCAGAAGATAACGGAAGCCTTGCTACAACATCAACAGAAGGCAGAGATGAGGAACTTGAAGGCAACAGTGCCAACAGCCAGTGACCCTACTTCCAGCAGTTCCAGTCATGCAGCCTGCCTTGCTGCATTCCCATACAGGTTTGCCAAAGAACTTTGAGAGATTATGCTTATGCTCTGCAACAACTCCAAGCTAATTCCTCACTTGTCCCTTCCCACTGGCCTAACTGGCAATTGCCCAACACTGCATGCTGCTGGTTTCTATACATCCAAGAATTATGGTCTACATCATTACATTATTTCTAATGAAAAACTTAATGAAAGTTGAATTTGTTTTGGTTTAGCAAGTATTAGACAACAATTAAATATAAAGAAGATCAAACTATTGACAACTAATGAACTGGAGTGCTGGCATATAATTAATTTAATTTTAGGGGTAATGTTCATTTTATTCCTGTTTCCATTTTAATATTATTTATGGATTTTTCTGTTATATTGTAATTTTCTTTAATAATCTTTAAGTGTAATCAAAACTTAATTTCTTTGATTATTTTGGGGAACCTTTTTATGTGACAATATTGCATGTAAGTATATGTGGGGAATTATATCTGTCTCAATAATGGGCACCTACTAATTGTGAATTATCTTAGGGATTCCTTATAAGGCCAAACAGCATTGTATGTGTGGGTGTTTGAGTGTATCAAACAATAAACAAAATCATAATGAATTATAAATTAGAGCCATGATTCCCAAGCTGATTACCATGGAGCCTTTGGGGCCCTACAGAATACTCACAGGTGTGTCACAGGATATTTAACTTTTTTGAGAGAAATACAGCAGTTTTTGACATCAGGTGAACATCACATGAACTAGGGGCACCATGAAAAAATTACTGAGACAATAAGGACACTGAACTGAGAAAATCTGAGAACTTCTGAAGAAGAGCATAACAAACAAAAACTGAAATATTTACTGTAAGGTTTACTGTATTTAAGGTTTAACCACATAAGCATTATGTAGGAATAAACTTCATTACACAGCAAGAATTATTTCCAAATATAAAATGTACAGGAGTATTCTAAGAGGCAAATGAAATATTGGATTTTTTTTAGGCAACCCCACAGGAGAACAAAATTTCAGCATATAATACATAGTATTTATACCTTTTAAAGCAACAGATATGTAAAATGATTTTATCCTCCCTTCTTTTTTCCCTAATGGAAAACATTTGGTATAAGGAAAGAAAATGAATATTAGTTCTTTTCAGAAAGAGAGCTGCAAGTCAAACTTAATTTTCCCCAAGTCATGCTTTGAAGTACTGTATTGATCATGTGAAAAAGAATATATAAAAAAGAAAAACAGTTATGAATTCATAAACTTGTCTATCTTATTGTTCTGTATATTTGTGCTTTTAAAAGTTTAATTGGATGCAACTATCAACTGTATTTATTTTTGAAAATAGGATTCAACATGGAATTAGCAATTTATGTGTACTTATTTGATTTTAATTGCACTTATTGGAATTTACTTCTGAATAACTTTGTGTGGGATCTTACTTAACTCTTTTTTCATGTTCTGGCATGGCAATAGTTTCTTTAAACTTAATTGTTATAAAATTAGAATGTACCTTCTGCTTTCAAGCAGTAATGCTTCAAAAGCAAAATGTATCAATTTGCAGTTTTTAGGTAAGTTTTTAAACAATCCCTAAGATTGACTGGTAAAGATTTAACTATTACAGAAGATCAATTGTACTCTGTCTGTGGATTTTACCTTGGAACCATTCCAGCTGTGTTAATAAGAAGCCAGAGGAAAAAGGAAAAAACGAACATTCTCTCTCTCTCTCTCTCTCTCTCTCTCTCTCTCTCTCTCTCTCTCTCTCTCTCTCTCTCTCTCTCACACACACACACACACACACACACACACATACACACACACACACAAAGGGGGGGGGAGATGGTTAAACAGGAGCAGCTGTTCCTTTCAATCTAGTTTTCGTTTTCTAATTAATAGCAAAAGACAAGACCTGAAACTAGTTCGTAAAAAATAAGTGATTTGAACTCAATAGCTAATGTTTTATACAAGTTTCATGCTTAACTACAACATTGTCTAATAAGAAATAAAATGAATAAAACACTGATTTCATTGCATCTAGATTCTAAAGTTAATTTCTTTAAAAGATCAAGGACATTTTTACATTATCTCAACTATTACAGGCACAGAATATTATCAGTCTTTGCAGTAGTGGAATTAAGAAAAAAACCTATAATATCGGTAGTCCTCGACTTACGGCAATTTGTTTAGTGACCACTTGAAGTTACAATGGTGCTGAAAAAATGGACCTGCCCCAGCAAGCGTCAGCAAGCATTCATTCACCCAGCTGCTTTCTCTCCCAGTTTCCTGCACCAGTTTTGTCTCTTTTTCAAACCCAGCTTCTCCAGCAAATGTGTCCTACTTTCCTGCTTTTCCTCTTCTTTCTGAAGGTAGCACTTGAAACACTCTGCTGTCTTTGTAAAGTGGTTCTAAATTTGGGGTACCTTGTTCCAAAGACAGTGCACCTTTCCAAGGAAAACTCATCTTCTAAAAGGAATTCTAGACTGCTATATAATTTTAATGGGATGTAGAAAATGAATGGTAAAATAAAATTAAATGGGACAATTGTTTGATGATATCTGTTTGTCTGAAAAGAATGTTTTTCATCAATGCAATTTGTCAAAAAGCAGAAAGCCACAACCATAAAATTCAGATAGACTTATGACCACAATTGAGATTAGAAATTCGATTGCAAAGCAAGGCAGTTGTTAATTTTTTTGTTATGGTTGTTAAGCCATTCATTGCAGTTAATTGAATTACACAATTGTTAGGCTAATCCAGCTCTCCCCATTGATTTTGCTAGTTAGAAGCCCAGTAGGAAAGTCGCAAATGTGACTCTCGTACACTGCAACTCTTGTAAATACATGTTATTTGCCAAGTGCCCAAATTTTGATCATGTGATCATGGGGGTTATGCAATGGTCATCCGCATGAGGTCATAGGTCACTTTTTCCAGTGCAATTGTAACTTTGAACAGTCTCAACAGTCTTACAGTATAACCATAAACAAATGGTTATAAGTCAAATACTACTTACAGTTTTAGCTTTTTTGCCCATGTCTATTGCTTTGTGTAACATTTGAAAATCTCAGAATTTTTTTTTATCTGTACATGATTTATTATAATTCTAGTCACTGAAGTAGGTGCTCCATTCTTTTCTTTTTGATAGCTCTTTTGGTCAGCAGCACTGAAATGTTATTATCCAATACTAGACACTAAAGTGCTATATCCAAAAGTATCCCAGGAAAAAAAAGTGCTACTTGCATTTCCAATTCCTAATTTGTTTTGGCTGTAAGGAAAAATAGAGGCTCTCTGCTCACAAAAAGTAGAGAGAAGAGAGAAGCAGGGTAGGGAATATCTCCTTCCATGCCAGTAAATGGCAGCAGAAGAAACATGGGTTTTCTGCTTTCAATTTTTCAATCCTGTAAAATAATCCCCTTGATGCAATCGGAACCTGAATCAATCAATCAATCTTTATTATGGTCACAGACTAGAACTCTACCATTAAGAGAGATATTATCTGCTACTTCTCTTACAGCAAGAGAAATTGGGATAGAGAAAAGACCTGGTTCTTCAATCTTTTTTCCTATTTCTTTTGCCAAGAAAGAGGGAGACAAACAGAAAGAGAAGGAATGGAAAATGGTTCTTCTATTGATAGTTCTCAATTCTGGTTTCTCGGAAAACT